TCGCTATCTTTCCACAAGGCTGGACTGCAAGCCCCGAATTGCCCGCTACCGCAGGACGAAAGTTCGCCACACAACATGAAGTTGAGAGATCACCACATGTTCATCCCTTTTCCCCGTAGAATCCTGGCACAACCCCGCAAAGCTCTCCGCCGGAAACTGTATAATAGTATACATTATTCCCGGAAAGTAATTACTCCGCCACGCTGGCCACGTAAAATGGGTCTTGGGGCTCTCCGCCTCTCCGCGAGTGATTCTGGACTCATGGCTGATCCTCGCAATCAAGCCAGGACATGTGGCTTTAAGGTCGGGGTGAGGCAGTGTCATTTGCTGAAAAAAAAAAGTGTCACGGCGAGGCCTGATTCTGGAATCATGGCTGATCCTCGCAACCAAGCCAGGACATGTGGCTTTAAGGTCGGGGTGAGGCAGTGTCATTTGCTGAAAAAAAGGGTCACGGCGAGGCATGCCCGGCACTAAAGTTTCGTCGCATCCGTTAGCAACATTGAACGGAGAACGCGGAGTCCGGGCTGTGAGGAATACCCTAGCCTGGCTAGCGGAAGAATTATCACCCGGGAATGAAATTATAGTACTATAATTGTTCCCGGCGGAGGACTTCTGGAGGAGTCTACGGGGAAAAGGGGTCTTGAACACACATGTTGTAAGTCGACAACATAGAGTGCGACGAACTTTCGGACCGGCGCACCGTCGCACCGTCATTTCGGGGGGCCAGAATCCAGAGCAATAGTCACAAGGCGTTTGTCGCGGTGGATGTCGTTATCTTTCCACAAGGCTGGACTGCAAGCCCCGAATTGCCCGCTACCGCATGACGAAAGTTCGTCACACAACATGAAGTTGAGAGATCACCACATGTTCACCCCTTTTCCCCGTAGAATCCTGGCACAACCCCGCAAAGCTCTCCGCCGGGAACTATATAATAGTACACATTTATTCCCGGAAAGTAATTACTCCGCCACGCTGGCCACGTAAAATGGGTCTTGGGGCTCACCCCCTCTCCGCGGGTGATTCTGGACTCATGGCTGATCCTCGCAATCAAGCCAGGACATGTGGCTTTAAGGTCGGGGTGAGGCAGTGTCATTTGCTAAAAAAAAGTGTCACGGCGAGGGCTGATTCTGGAATCTGGCTGATCCTCGCAACCAAGCCAGGACATGTGGCTTTAAGGTCGGGGTGAGGCAGCGTCATTTGCTGAAAAAAAGGGTCACGGCGAGGCATGCCCGGCACTAAAGTTTCGTCGCATCCGTTAGCAACATTGAACGGAGAACGCGGAGTCCGGGCTGTGAGGAATACCCTAGCCTG